ACTACTATAGTAGTAAGTACGTATATATATATATATATATATATATATATATATATATATATATATATATATATATATATATATACTCCCACCTCTAAAGTGAACGGCATTAAACACACCAAAACTAAATCTCTGAGAGCTTTGGTCGCTTGAACTGGTCATGCCATGTACATCCCTGTGAATCATAGAGTGCAAGTTCGATCGCCAAAGCAGACATACCGGACTTGTGTAATAACAGGAACAGACCCAGCACACATATAATCATTCATATAACACACAGGCTGGCACACTTACGAATTGTAGATATCTGTTTTCTCCGTCGTCTTCTTCTTAGTTCCTCCGCGAAGCTTGCGCACACAGAAGGCGCAGCAGCAGCAACAACAGCACCAGAATGTACTGAAGATCACCATGAACCCAGTACCCAGTAGAATATACTGTTCTTGTTCCGTGTACTCCTCCCATGGCAGTGGGAAGCGGATGGTATCACTGCAGTAACAAAGTAACATACAACGAGAAACGCGAAATCAGAAAAGTGGTAATGGGTGTCCGCTTGTGTTCGGGGTTTGGGTACATTTTACGTATTCGGATTGGTGCAGTCCTTTTGAATCCGAGGAAACCGATAAAAGAGTACATACACATCGATCAAAGCAGAAATGTGAGTGCAGATATATACACGTACTTCATACCCGACCACAGATATACATGTTTTCAGTCATCACAGTACCAAACCCTCCCGATCTCCACCGAACACCCCATCTCGGTGAATTAATGGGTAGGACGTATTCCACAAGCAACAGGTTGTATATGTACGCACCTCCACAAACAAAGACAAGTGCAATGCTATATATATATATATATATATATATATATATATATTATATATATATATATATATATATATATATATATATATATATATATATATATATATATATATATATATATATATATATATATATATATATATATATATATATATATATATATATATATATATATA